CGTGCCTGTAGTCCCAGCTACCAGCTACTTGGGAGGTTGAGACAGGAGAATCGCTTGAACCTGGGAGACAGAGGTTGCAGTGAGCCGAGATTGCGCCACTGCACTCCAGTCTTGGCGATAGAACTAGACTTTGTCTCAAACAAAAAACAAAGAACAACTCTCTTCATTTTCATGTAATCCTATTTATTTCCTCAAGAAGGGTAGATCTTTTAAGACTTTGTTCTTTGCAGTTACAAACATACAATAAAAAATTTAGTGGCTTTAGTTTCACACAAATGAAATCAACCCGTATGAATTTTAACTTGCTTTTTTTACTTTATTATCTTAGAAAATTTTCTGTCTGTATATATGAAGCTTTCTTTTTAACTTGGTCTAAAGTAGTGGTCTTAACTTTTGGTCATATACTCAGAATTCTGAGAAATTCTCTTTGTACATTAAGTTTACGTCTAAAATTTTGTAGCAAAAGTTTAGTCGTAAAACATGTAATTTTGAGAATGTTTTACTTTTGCCACATAAAAATAAGTTACCTCATTCTGCTAAATGTATCCAAATGCTTCTAAATATAGAGCATTTTGATTTCCATCATCTAGTTTAAAAATATACGAACAAGCTGTTCTTTATCATTGGAAATTTAAATTCTTCTTTTGAGTCCTTGAATTCTTATTTCCATAACATGTCTCAGACTTTTATCCTAATGTAATACATTTTTATGCTTGAAATTTTTTTCTTGATTGTTTTACCATGTTTCTGCTACTAAATATGTATGTAAACTTAAATTTTAATTTTTAAAGTTCCTGTAACAATAAGGTTCTGTATTTTAACTTGGTCCAGAGGAAATTTATCAGTCGATCACATGTATTATGTATTTTTTAAATCTCCCTTCATTTTCACTTACTCCTATTTGTTTCCTCAAAAAGAGTAGAGACAGGGCTTCACTATGTTGACTAGGCTGGTCTTGAATTCCTGGCCTCAAGTGATCCGCTCGCCTTGGCTTCCCAAATTGCTGGGATTACAGGCATGAGCCACTGTGCCTGGCCCACATACGTTGTAATTTTTGATGTTATTACTATAAAAGTTGAATCTTATTGGAAATGCTTTTCTTATGAGATGATGGGATCTGTTATTTTTCTCAGTTAGATCATGGGTCTGTGGATGAATATTTCTTTCTCCGATGAAATAGAATTGAGAAATTTTTCCTGTTTTTGTAGCTATCATAGTGAAGAAACCCTAATCACATAGGTAAATATATGGGAATGAAGTTTTTTTTCTTTTTTTTTTGGAGAAGGAGTCTTGCTCTGTCGCCCAAGCTGGAGTGCAGTGGCGCAATCTCAGCTCACTGCAACCTCTGCCTCCCAGATTCAAGCAATTCTTGTGCTTCAGCCTCTGGAGTAGTTGTGATTCATACGCCACTATGCCGGCTAATTTTTTGTATTTTAGTAGATATGGGATTTCACCAGGTTGGCCAGGCAGGTCTCGAACTCCTGACCTCAAGTGATCCACCTGCCTCGGCCTCCCAAAGTGCTGGGATTACAGGCTTGAGCCACTGCACCGGCCAGGTTCTTTATTTATTTTTTTATTTTTTTATTAAGAGATAAATACTATAGGCGTGTGCCACCACACCCAGCTAATTTTTATTTTATTTTATTTTATTTTTTTTAGAGTTGGGGGTCACACGATGTTGCCCAGGCTGGTCTCAAATTCCTGGACTCAAGACACCCCTCTGCCTTAGCTTCCCTAATAGATGGGACTACGGACACACCCTAGGGTGTCCTGGCCTTTATCTGTATTTAGCTATTAGATGCCTGTTATCTTCCTGTATCAGTTACACAAAGTGCTCTCATTTCTTTTATTACTGTATACTATTTTACAGTATTATAATGAATCTGTTGGTGGACATTTGCTGTTTTTAAGCAATGCCATAATAAACATTCTGTTTATATTCACTTTTTTATACTTTTATGTCTCTTTGTGAACTAAATACCTAAAACGGATTGTTGAGTTGAGTATTGCAGAATTTGATAGGCTGCCAATTTGTCTCATAAAAAGGTTGTTCCTGTTTACATTCCCCCAGATGATGTAATGAAATTACCCTTGTCAACACTGGTTATCAAATTTTAAAAGGTTTTATCACTTTAGTAGCTGCTCTTATACCAGTCGCAGGATATCAATTTTTGTAATTTCCATTTTCTTATAATACACATTTTTTAAATGAAGCAAGTTTTAAAAAATATGCATTCTTTCTTGAGCGAGGAAGAATAAACCTTATAAACTTATTGTGTGAATGAGAAAGGGAATTTACTTATGCCAAATGTGAGATGGAGCATATTTATGGCATCTCTCTGGATAAGTAAAATGCAGTTTGTGAAGACTTAGCAGGGTATATGTTACATAGTGGGTATTTAACAGAATTCCATTGTCTTTCCTTCCTCTATTTCCTTCTTTTATTTAAGTTCTATTCTGGTTTTGGACTGTCTTGTTCTTTTAGATTGTTCTCTTTGGCCATTCCTCTTAAGTAACAGAATGAATGATCTTTTCAATGAGAAGCTTGTGTGAAAGATTTCTGCCTTGTATTTATGAGGACTAAGGGGTTGGACAGCATGTTTGTTGTCTTCCAAAGTAAAATCTTGCATTTTTTATTTTAGCAGCATATATTGTAGATATTTACTTATTGTCTTAGGAATAATATCTCTAAATTCTTGGGTCAGCAAGGTGACTGCAGAGCTAGGCTGGTTGCTAAAATGTTAGATATAGTCAGAGACTTTAAGAAAAAGTTGTACATCCCCAAATTGATCTATATAGTTTTATATGCAATTGCATGTAAGATCCCATCAAGAATTTTAGTATAAATCAAAAACTGATTCTAAAATTTATATGGAAAAGCAAAGAAACAAAACAAAGCCAGGCACAGTGACTCATGCCTATAATACTAATACTTTGGGAGGCCAAGGTGGGAGGTTTGCTTGAGGTCAGGAGTTTGAGACCAATCTGGGAAACATAGGGAGACCCCGTTTTTCCAAAAAATAATAATAATGAAAAATTAGGCAGGCATGGTGGCATGCACCTTTGGGCCCAGCTACTTGGGAGGCTGAGGTGGGAGGATTGCTTGAGCCTGAGAGGTCGAGGCTTCAGTCAGCCTCGATCACACTACTGCACTTCAGCCTGAGTGACAGAATGAGGCCCTGTCTCAAAAACAAAACAAAACAAACAAAAACATTTTTGGAAAACACCCAAGTTGGAGGGCTCATATTACCTTATTTTTAAGACTTATGGCTGGGCATGGTGTCTCATGCCTGTAATCTCAGCACTTTGGGAGGCTGAGGCAGGCGGATCACCTGAGGTCAGGAGTTCGAGACCAGCTGGCCAACATAGTGAAACCCCGTCTCTACAAAAAATACAAAAAAAATTAGCTGGACGTGGTGGCACATGCCTGTAATCTCAGCTACTTGGGGAGGCTGAGGCAGGAGAATCTCTTGAACCCAGGAGGTGGAGGTTGCAGTGCGCCAAGATTGCGCCACTGCACTCCAGGCTGGGCGACAGAGAGAGACTGCCTCTCAAGACAAATACAGTAATCAAGACAGGATGGTATTGGCAAAATGGATAGACATATAAATTGATGGAACAGAACAGCCCAGAAATAAACCCAAATGTAATATGGTCAGTTGATTTTTTTTACAAAGGTGCAAAGGCAATTTGATAGAATACAGATGACTTTTTCAACAAATGATTCTATAATAATTAGGTGTCAATGTACAGGAATAGAAACTTAGACCCACATCATTATACCATATACAAAATTTCACTCCAAATGTACCATAGGCCTCAATGTGAAATGTAAATATGAAAACTATGAGACTTCTAGAGGAGAATGTGGGGAAAAAAATCCTGTGAGCTACTTCATGAAATTTAAAAACTTTTGCTATTTTAAAGACACAGTTAAGTAAATGAAAATACAGTGTAAGTTAAATACAGGGAAGAAATTTTTACAAAATTTATCTGATAAAGGACTGATATTTGGAATACATAAAGAATTTTCAAAATTCAATAGTAGGAAAATAAACAGTTCAATTTTAAAATAGTCAAAAATTTTGACCATTCAAGTCACCAAAGAAGACAAAGGGATGGCAGAGAAACACATGAAAAGATGCTCAACATCCTTAGTCATTAGGGAATGAGATAGAACTAATTTCCTTTAAAAAAAAAAAAAGGAGTCCTCTGCTTCCAGAAGTACATCTGGTTACCTCCAGCTGATGCAGTCCTCATCCAGAAGCAATGATGGTACCCTGGATTTCCTGTGTGGGAATTAATAAGTAATTAATAAATGGCCTCAGCCGGGCATAGTGGCTCACACCTGTAATCCCAGCAGTTTGGGAGGCCAAAGCAGTGAATAACCTGAGGTCAGGAGTTTGAGCCCAGCCTGGCCAACATGGTGAAACCCCATTTCTACTAAAAATACAAAAATTAGCTGGGCATGGTGGCAGGTGCCTGCAATCCCAGCTACTCGGGAGGCTGAGGCAGGAGAATCGCTTGAACCCAGAAGGCGGAGGTTGCAGTGAGCCGAGATCGCACTACGGCACTCCAGCCTGGGTGACGAGCAAAACCCCATCTCAAAAATAATAATAAAACAAATGCCCTCCATTCTTGGAGCGTTTGATTTGGATTTGAATTGCTGATACTAAACTTGTGTTGCTCCATGATGGTTTTACTGAATTTAATGGTAATCTTTGACAATTTGCAGAATGAAAAAGATTTAGACTTGCTATTATGAAGGGCTCTCCTGTGGAACTGGTACTTAGAAGAGCTTGGGTGCCCTAGGAATTAATGATTCTGCTCTGTTCTGTTTCTGGGTTTCCTTTTATTAAATCTTTAAATTTTGAATAGTTTTTAATTGCTTTAACCTAATGCTACAAAGAGTGAGAAAAACTCTAGTAATAAGACAGTAGTTGACTCTGTTTTTCATTTTTCTGTCTGTCACAATGGGTAATTATTTGTCATTGTTGCAGATACTCCATCTTCTAAACCAACACTGCTAGCCAATGGTGGTCATGGAATAGAAGGGAGCGATACTACAGGTAAGTGATTCCCAGGATTCTCCAAATGTGTAGGTGATGCACTTACAATGAACACCTTGATAATCTCCTTTGAAGAGCATTATTAATGGAAGCATATGAATTATTTCTGAGGGTGGTAGTGTTCTTGGATGCGTTTAAACCCAGGACATTGCCATGTAAAATCTCCAACAATGGAAGGAGAATAATGAGTTTCCTTTGATATTTTTCGAATATTTTTTGGAGCTGTACCACACAAAACTGGATCAACCTTAAAATACTTTTGTAGATGCAGAATAATAATCACCAAAATATGTTACATGGGAGGAATTTGGCCACTACAACTCTTTAAAACAGCAGATCTCTTCCCTGAATCACATTACATTTAGCTTTCTACAGTTCAATGTTAGGAAGCCAATGAGCAACAAATTAGGAGTTACTAATTTTGCCCCCAGTGTGTTTCCTTTATCTTTCCCTTAACTGTTGCTTTTGAAATTTACTTCTAACTAAACTCTTAGCTCTTTACTAGGGTTTTGATATTTTTTCAGTTAGCACTGAGTTCCTGTGGGTTCCTGTCTCATAACCAGCACGAACCCCCTGCCCCAAAGTCTTTGTAGTGAGCAAAATTCTCAAAGCAGTAGCAGGAGTCCCAGGGATATACGATATAAATATTTTCTTAAGTAGCTGACGTGAGAGTTGCCTGTTTTATTTTCATAAATACCTGCATTTACTTTGCAGTTGTGATCAGGCCAACACTGCTAACCCAAATGAGTTGACTTCTAATGATCAATCCCATTGTTTCCTACAAGTGTCCTCTTAACTGGGCCATACATTTGATTCATATTATTGCATTGGAGGTAGTTACTAGATTTGTCGTATTTCTGTATTTCTCTTATATGCATACCTCAGCTATGAGAAGCCCTTCTGTGAGCCACCACAGGATTTCTATAAGGCTTCCAGAAAGCCTTCTGTTAGCAATAGCAGCTATTCTAGGATTTACTCTTTATTCTGTGACCATAGGAAAGTTGATTTTTTGATGACCAAGTTCTTTTTGTTGTGAATGTTTACCAAGTGACATTTACATCCTTATTAGCAACTTAATAAATTAGGAATTCTTTACTATAGAAGCTAGAAACAACCAGAAATGCCACTTTATCTTCCAGTTTTGTGAATTGATGTTTTTGTATTTCTTTGATAATCTCAGTCAAATGTAGTATTGACTTTCTGTGTCTGCTTTGAAAGCAGTCATCTATGTGATGTGGTTTTTAAGAAAACATTTATGCAAATATCCCCATGATTAAAGGAGAAGTCTGAACATGAACTTTTAAAAAATGAGTAAATTCAGCTTTCTTTAACCAGAAAACAGTTAACCAGGGTAAGGAAAGGCTGGAGGGGATTGATTTGATTAGGCAGTTGAAAGACTGGACGCCATTTTCATCCAGGAAGGAAACAACTACAAAAACAAGAGTAGATTTCTTCTCCAGTAGGAAGTCACGCCTGACCAGAAGAGACTCATACTCTGTGTAGCAGGTGCTTACCACTGCCAGGTCTTAGTAGTACAGAATAGAAGAGTAAAAACTGTATCCTGGCCCTCACTGTTTCAGGATTCCCTTGTGACAAAAAAGAACCTGGCTCTTTATGAACTGCCCATGACATTATGAGAGTAGGTCATTCTGTTCTTGGATACCTCTCTGCCCTTAGGTAGCATATAGTTTGCACACCTGGGTTGTTTGAGTTCTGAATTTAACCACTTAACTGTATTAAAATAAATACTTGAGGCCGGGCACAGTGGCTCATGCCTGTAATCCCAGCACTTTGGGAGGCCGAGGCGGGTGGATCACCTGAGGTTGGGAGTTCAAGACCAGCCTGACCAACATGGAGAAACCCCGTCTCTACTAAAAATACAAAATTAGCCGGGCGTTGTGGCGCATGCCTGTAATCCCAGCTACTCGAAAGGCTGAGGCAGGAGAATCACTGAACCCAGGAGGCGGAGGTTGCAGTGAGCCGAGATCGCGCCATTGCACTCCAGCTTGGACAACAAGAGCGAAACTCTGTCTCAAAATAAAATAATTTAAAAATTAAAAAAAATAAAGATAAATAAAAAAAATAGATACTTGGCCGGGCGTGATGGCTCACACCTGTAATCCCAGCACTTTTGGGAGACCGAGGCGAGTGGATCACCTGAGGTTGGAAGTTTGAGACCAGCCCGGCCAATATGGTGAAACCCCATCTCTACTAAAAATACAAAAATTAGCTGGACGTGGTGGCACGTGCCTGTAGTCCCAGCTACTTGGGAGGCTGAGGCAGAAGAATGGCTTGAACCTGGGAGGCAGAGGTTGCAGTGAGCCGAGATCGTACCACTGTACTCCAGCCTGATCAACAGAGCAAGACTCCGTCTCAAAAAAAAAAAAAGATACTTTACTGAAAATATGCATGTTTTATTGGGGGAGGGAAGGTGGAGGAAGGGGATGACAGTGCATGTTTTTGGAGCATATGGTAACTTCATTCTAATTTGGCCATCACTACCTGGAACATCTAACTCAATGCCATTTTGAAAATTCCCATTTCTGTTTCCTTCAGAATATAATCTATAGTCCCGAGAGCAAACCAGCTTCATTAATAGCTTGGGTTTATGAGCATCTTGTGATATTGAACTTGCTGTTTACTAATGACCTGTGCTTTTCCACCCTTTCCTTCCCCTTCCTACTTCTTCCTCCCTCTCTATTTTTCTCCTCCTAGAAGCCTAGCGTGTCTCTCAACACTGGGGCTACTGCAACACCAGACCAGTGATCTTTCCTAAGCACCGTTATACTTCTAAAACCTTCAGCATTTTGCAGAGCTTTGCTTTTCCTTCCTGGACACGATGTAGAAGAAACTGAGGGTAGTTCTTCGGGGCCTATTTCTGCTGATGCCTGAGCAAACAACCTGCTTCCTCTTGTGCTCTGCAGGGTTTGATGGAGCCTCATTTCCCTTTGTGAATACAAAGTGCAGAATGAATTCTTTTTAATTTTAGTAATTTTTACAAAGGTTATCTGATGTCTTTTATTTTTTGTTTTCTTCATGATTTTATCATTTGATTCATTCTCACATTTTTTTCCTTTAAATATTTTTAGTTGACCTTTTTCCTTTGGTTTTCAAATCTTCAACATAAATCAGAATAGTGTAACACCAAATGAGAACATGTGTTTTCATAAAGGGGTTGAGGCCACCAGTACTGCAGTGAATTTCCTTTTCTCCTCCCTCCTCTTTTCCTCTGAGCTTGCTTTTAGGGAAGGTTAATCTTATAGGCTACCTATCTTTCTCTCCACCTTACTAAAATCTGAGTAATGATAGATATTTTAATTTTAAGTTTTTAAATTTAGGATTACTCAGAGCTACTCTTGAGTATTTTTCCAAATTAAATCATCCTTTATTATTTGCAAGTTGGACCAAATTTTTTTTTTTTTTTTTGGAGATGGACTCTATCTAAGGATTGTTTCAAAAGGACTTTCTTATTCTCATTCCTAATTTTTTCTTATTCCCATTCCTAATTTTTTCAAACTAATTGCTTAAATCTAGAACCAGTCGAGATTAGTACTGTACAATGGTAAGCTTTGATTGTATTTATAGAAATATAACATAAAATATGGACTATGTTTTGAAATCTTAGAGGAATTCTAGTTTAAGATCTGAAATACTTTAAAGTTTTCTATCGTCTTACTGATTATGAAGGTTCTTATAACCCCCAAGGTAAAAATTATTTCAGCTTAAAAGAAATAATTGGCACCATGTTCTGAGAAAGATTTTGAGATATACATTGTTTTTTGTTTTTGAGATAGGGCCTCACTCTGTCGCCTAGGCTGGAGTGTGGTGGCGTGATCTTGGCTTACTGCAACCTCTGCCTCCCAGATTCCAGTGGTTCTCCTGCCTCAGCCTCCCAAGTAGCTGGGATTACAGGCGTGTGCCACCATACTGGCTAATTTTTGTATTTTTAGTGTTGCGAGGCTGGTCTCGAACTCCTGATCCCAAGTGATCCACCTGCCTTGGCCACCCAAAGTGCTGGAATTACAGGTGTGAGACACTGTGCCTGGCCAGATGTACATTGTTTTAGATCCCCTGATACAAAACTACTTTTGAGATGGTAAGATTAGAATATCATGAAAGTTTAAACTGAATCCCTGCAGCGACTTCTGGAATTTAGGAAGCATTCCCTCTTCTACAGCGATCTGGTCACAGGGCTGGATTCTCTGACAGAAATTTATTCTATGGATTCTGGACAGAAGACACGTGAGGGTGATATGTTTTAAAGGAAAGAGGTTATGCTTATCTTCTTTGCAGTTGATAAAATATTAAAACTGTCTTGCCATAGAGAATATACCATCAAATAAAACAACCCTTTCCCTTTGGTGTACAGTTACTTATTAAGTTGATTTTTGGGTTTCTTTCGCCAGGGAACTTTTCAAAACTGGTAGTAATTATTTTTAAAAATCATGTTTGACATCTTTCTATTGCTCGGAACCAGTCCCTGTAGCTGTCTAAGTTATGGGTGGAGAAGTCTGGGTATGACCCCGTTGTGTACACTCACACTTCATGATTGACATTGATTTACTCTTTTATTTCCATTTGGTTATGCTTATTTTTGTTTGAAATTTGTTTTTTTCAAATATGTTTCCTTTTTGAACTTACAGAATTGTTGAAATTTTCTAATAGCCAGCTAAAATTTGGTATATATTAACTCTGTTCGTTTCACTTGGACGTTTCATTTTGAAAGAAAGAATTTTTATGTTTCACATATAGTTTCATACAGAGTAGCCAGTCCCATAATGAAATGCTGTATTGCCATAGTGGTCACACCCAAGTGGTCCAGTATCTCAATGGCGAGGCAGCCGGATTGGTCAGGGCTGCTTTGTTGAAATGTGATGATTTTCATATGACTTCTTTCTCTTTCTCTCTCTTTTTTTTTTTTTTTCCTTTTTTGGCCCAATGTTGAAGATATAGAACTTTGTTTTTAAATGTTTTTATAACTTCATTCGTATACCTAAGTT